ACTATAAATAAAATATTAGACTTTTAATTACTTAAGATGTCATGTGGAACATGGTGAAATGCTTGCAGCATAGTGTAAAACAAAAACTTGGCGAAAGAGTGGCGGAGAGTTAATTGCCAGTTCTTCTCTTCCGTTCTACGCCCTTGATGTGAGAACTGGCAGTTAATGTAAAATTAGAAGCATTTAATTTGTATTTCTTTTTGACGTTCATATATGTACATTGTGTTCCCTAAACGAATAAATGATTTTGATTTGATTTGATAATATTTTTTAAAAATGAATAATGCCTATACATTTTGATAAAATAAAACTCCATTTAAGAGATTATATATACCATAAAATCGTATTTCAACTGAGATGTTTGTCCTAGTTGGCAAGTGGGGCAAAGCGAAAGCGAGGTCTCACAAACGTCACTTCTAACGATTTTATTTAACAGTGATTTAATTTTAAGTAAAATTTAACAAAAAATTCTTATTTGTCAATTTTTTTTACATTTTTTGTTCACAAAATTATTTACACTGATATTATAAAGAGTAATGATTTAATTGTTTGCATTTCTTGGCCTTTATACTACGGGATTGATTTGAAAACATCTTTTACCGTTACTTTATTCCTGATGAACGTAGGCTTCAGAATATTTTTATTAAAGTTAGGGTTCTTTATATTATTACAGTATATACAGTTTTATAGAAGAAATCAAGAGTCCGCTAGTAAATCAATATCTTAGATATATAAAAGTATATTTACCGTAAAACGGTTTGGAACATCCTACTAGAACCGAATCAATGCGTGCGAACCGCAGAGCATAGTTAGTATTTAATGAAGTATTTTAATTTATACAACAGGGGGAAAACGGGCACGAGGCTCACCTGATGATAAATGAAACCGCCGCCCATGGACACTCACATTACCAGAAGGCACGCAAGTGAGTTGCCTGCCCTTAAAATCGTTGTTTTAACTTGTATCTCGTGAAATTAAGAATATTATGTATGACGGAAGACATCAACGCGGTTGAAGCTTGCAATTTCTTTGTTCTGTTTTAATTTATTTTCTATAGAATATACTTTATATTAAAACGTGATTTTATTAAGTTTATTTTATGTAACAGTATGTAAACGGGCAGGAGGCTCAGATGATAAGAGATACCGCTGCCCATGGACACTCACATTGCCAGAAGGATTACAAATGCGTTGCCGGCCTTTAATAATATCAATACAGTATATATAACTTTATCTGTCTTCCAAAACAAATTAACTTTTCTTGATTTGGTGTCATACTCTTGATCTACATTAGTTATTGTTGCATACATATTTTCTTTGTGATCTGCAGTACGGACCCCTTTTCGATAAAGGCCTCCTCCTGAACTTAACATTTACATCTATACTCAGCTTCCTCCATCCATTGGTAACCAGAAACCCTTACTCGTCGTCAGCCCATTGACTTTGTGGCATTCCCACGTTTCCTTTTCCTGGAAGTCCTCTCTTTTCTGTTAGCTTCGGCTTCTTCGGTATTTTATGTCAACATTCAATAAATATATAGTTTTGAAAATTCCGCCCTAAAATTGTTAAAATATAGAATAGCTCTATGGATATCATTTCGTCTACGTAAAAGTAAGATAAATAATCAACGAGAATAGAGGCATGGTCTATATAACTTTTTATAGTTTAAAAATCCACAGACTACTTTAACTCCGTGTAGGGTGCGATGTTAATACAGTAAAATTATATGCACACATGAAACCGGTAGAGGAGTGTCATTCTCGCATTCCAATTTCGAAACTCACAGTTTATGTCAGGGTTAACTTATTTAAAATTTATTATCTGCTGTTTTACAACAATTATTTCTGAATTTGAACAATATTGTGATTTATCGTATTTATTTTCAATCCGTACTGTAATGCGTAAAGTTCCCAACTTGAATATTGAATTGGTACAAAATACTTTTCTACTTATACATAATACAATATTGTTTTTATTATCTCTTAACCTAACCAAAGACATTTTAAATGTTTAATATTGACAACGCGAAATGTTTTGGCCACCTTTAAAGGTTTTTCCGTTTTGCGTAATTTTGTATATGTCAAAGTTCCACGTAGCCTTTTCTTCAATAAACGCTACAACTATCACGCTTGTATGTGTATATCAAGTTACTGTTTAAATCATAAAACAAGAACAATTAAAAATAATTCAGTGGGAATATTAAAATTTCAGATTTATTATTTACTCCCGCTTGTGTGTCATATGGTACAAATAAATTTAACAATCAAATATAACCTTTTCCACTTTATGTAGCTCTTATTAAAAGTGGTTGTTATGTTTCCTTCTTGTAAAGTAAAATAAAAAGAAAATGTTTGTTATGGAATATAAGATACAGGTATCACTAATTCCACGTCATTAAATTTGAATCAGTAGACATCCCTACTCATCGGCAAAGAAGACAGAGGGTGTAGGCCGAGAGAAAAAGCCGGCGTAAACAACTATCGGTACTCTTTTAAAATAAATTTAAAAATCCACAGATCATCCAACAAGCCTTCCACAGATCATCCCTTATCAATTGTTTGTGTAGATATATTATATTCATCAATTAAGAAATATATACCAATATTATGAAACTAAAAAGCTTATTTAGAATAGAACTGAAAGGTTTTGCGTAGGGTAGTTCCCCTATTTAGGAACTTAAATACTGGTGAAACCCCGAGACGCAGTTAATACCGAACAAAAATAGTAAACCAACTACCAAGTCACACGATTGTGAGAAAATGTTTACCGCATTGTTTCACGATTTGAAGTCACGCAGTATTATTGTCTATTTCTCATTCTAAAAGCGATTTCTTCGTCATAAGATGCGAAGTTTGAAACGTGAACTGACTGCCAGTGTCTGGGGAAAACTCTTGATGACTCAAGATTATAGCATAATAAATTGCCTTTTTTAATTATTATTCTTAAGAAATATTCTTAAACAAGGTGACCTTTGGATGGCACACGGTGAATTGCGAGAGAACTTATTTAGTATCATAAAATACACACGAAAGTGAAACGCACATAGTAAGGTGAGTGAGAGTGTTCAGAGGAGTTGTTCGGATTAATACCTGCAGCCGAGTTTCGTCATCGGACGTCGAGGCAGAGTACGAAATTTCACCCGTATCACCTCGACGTCAGCCGTTCCACAACTGAGCGTTTTTCAAGGCAGTTTTTGCCGCGCACCACCACTTTGTGGAACCAGCTGCCCACTGAAGTATTTCCGAACCAATTCGACTTAGGGTCTTTCAAGAAAAGAGCGTACCAATACTTGAAAGGCCGGCAACGCACTCGCGAGCCCTCTGGCATTGAGAGTGTCCATGGGCGGCGGTATCACTTAACATCAGGTAGCCTCCTGCCCGTTTGCCCCCTGTTCTATAAAAAAAAAAAGTAATATTATGTCAGAGTAATGTACATGCACATTGGTATATAATCTCAGTATTTAAAGAACTATTCCTCTGGCAATGAATGTACATGAGCGGCGGTATCACTTAACATCAGCCTTCAGCCCGTTTGCTCCCTGTTATATAAAAATAAACAATACAAAAAGAAAAAATTAGGGTCTAGGCTCCAAATATGATTTTGCTTTGGAACACGTCTGCTCCAAGGCATAATGCTGAGCCAGGGCCAGTTACAACATATTACACATTTAAAATTTAGCTTTTGTGTGTTTTTCTTTCTTTTTTTGATTATTATTATTTTGTGTGTTTCTGTGTGTGTGTTTTGTTAGTAATAAATGTTATGTTTATGTCTATGTCTATATCTACCTTAAATTTGCTCACCAAGTGAATGTAATTCTTTGAAAAATGAAACTTTTTGGTACCAAGAGTAAAAACACGAAAAGCAGTCTGTGCCCCTACCGGATGTTAATTATCATATTTTATATTATTATTAATTTTAATTAAAAATTTCAAGGGTCCGAAAACAACAATAACAAATATTGCTTTATACGCTATAGATTGTTGAACTCACGTAAGTGTGCTGACCTCATTCGTATTTTATGAATGAGTTTTAATCCTAATACCTACTTGCACTTAGTTGTGATTCTACGCGAATTGTTAGTACCTACCGAAGACGAACTATAAATTATTCATGGAGCCGTTATGAAAGCGATTAGCGATATTATTAGATTGCACCTACGTATATTATATCTGAGATTTCTCTTTCTAAATTTGTTACATGAGTAATAAAAATTGTAGAACTATTCGTTTAAAAAACTACTTGTATCCCATACGATCCGTATTATTGTTATGGCCGATGGGTCAAGAAGACCCTTACTTGGAATAGCCTAGTGGGAAGAATAGAGAACCAGAAACTTGGGAAGATGTAATAAAAAGGAAGGCGGGTCAGAATTTTAAAATTGTCGCGAGGAATGGAGACAAGTGGAAGAATTTGAAGGAGACTTTCACTTCGTCGGAGGTCGAGTACTAGTATAAGGCTGCTGCCTCGAATTTTGCGGGCAGCGGGACGGCAGCGGCGGCGGCGCGGGAGCGGCAGGATCTTATGCGTAAAATCAAATGGACTGGTTCTCGAAAACAGCGGCGTGGCAGCGGCGCGAGGGCAGGTAACGAGAGGTGCAATCGCCCGCTCCCGCACCGCAGCCGCCGCCGCCCCGCTGCCCGCAAAATTCGAGGCAGCAGCCTAAAACATGGACAATAACAACACTAAACTACACTAAGTCAATGACATGGACTTGGTGTAGTTTAGTGTACAGGAATAAAGCCTATTTTTATTTAATTTATTTATGATCACACACTGACCCAGTCTTGGGCTATTATTTAAAAAAATACTAGCTATATAACTTAACAGACAAGAACACATGATTAACAATAAAATAACTGACTGGCGTCAGAATGTAAAGTTAAGAAGTGTGTGTTCCACGCCTTACAGTTATGAATAGCGTGCGATGCCTAATCTTGGTCAAGACTAGAGATAATGCCAGCATTACAACACGATTAGTAACTACAATCAAAGTTTTAAATGATGCGCTTCTTCATTGATGAAATCGAGTTGGTTTTGAGGTTAAAGAAATCTGATCACCAATTTGCATACTAGATATGGCTTACAGGAATACCCTTGAATAGCTGATCATTGTAGCGTGAGTAAAACGATGATTTACAATTCAATAAATAAAACATTGCATCTATTTTATACCTTGCAAAATAAAAACAATAAGAAATTAAATCTCTACGAAAACCTACACCCACTTGGCGACGTCCTTGACTATTTCTTAACAACTATATACTAACTTCGTAGAACAAAAGCCTGAATTATTTATACATTTTATTGATCAGTTCAGAGAAATTTTCTTCTAACAAGTAGGGACCTCCGTGCCATAGTAAATAGTGTTTGTTTACTTTACGGTTGGTATATACTATACGTAACTGACAAATAGGGCCGTGGTTTGACTGGTATCGAAGTACTGATTTATGTACATATAATCACTTATCACCTAATTAAACACAGCCTTGTAAACGGAGTGTTAGCGTCGTACCTTTAAAACCCGACTAGTAATTAGTATTATTTTCTTATGTAGCCAAGTCCACATTTCAAGGATCGTCATGCTCGCTTAAATGTCATTACTTGTGGCGGCGTCCATGCGTCGGGTTGTCTCTCTCCCTAAAATATGGCGAGGGGGCCGATGGCTGGCCATGCGTCATACTCGTGAACGGGTGCTACTTGTGGTGACTGGTCGTACTTGAATTCGTGTATGCGGTGATGTTAGTTATAAGTGCGTGCTCCTATTTCACCATGCCTCCTGCTGATAGAGGACAAATCTTTGTTTTTAATTCATTTTATTATTATTTATTACTTAAGATGTCATATGGAAGGGATTTTTGAAGGGAGTCTGTATGTTATTATCGACTCTGAATCTTACCCTTAGGACATGGCGTGTGTCAGGCACAAAGAGGTGCCTTTACAGAAACGTACCAATGAATGACTCAGACAATTTATTTATTTATTACATATTATTATTCTAGCTCTACAGTTATTAATTACACGATAGAACTACACAATACCTACACCGATAATTCTTCAATTAAAAATACATTTTAAAAAATGTTTATACTGTTATTACTAGTAGGTAGTAGGTATTCCTATATAACAAGAGGCTTGTGAACTCAACAAGTGTACAAAAAATAGGCTCCTCGAAAGAAATGTGAATCCAGCTGCCCACTGAATTATTTCCGAACCAAATCGACTTAGGGTCCTTCAGGAGTGTCATGGGCGGTATCACTTAACATCAGGTGAGTCTCCTGCCCGTTTGCCCCAGTAATTTAAAAAAAATCTTATTTGTTTTTATAAGTGTCTGTACTATCCTCCATTTGAACTTCGAACATAGGGTGTGTGTGTGGATGGGTGTAATTCGAGCTATTATTCGTAAAGGGTCTGAACAATTATGAGGTTTAATATGTAGTTAAAATAACAAACGGTTACGTTTAATATTTATCATTAAGAATACATTCATAATAAAATATACACAATAATTCATTAAGTTAGCTTATTAATTAATTATGTATTGCGCAAGTAAGAATAAGTTCATCAATAGGCAAGAAACAAGACTTTAAAAAAAATATAAATTACAAATAAAAAAATATGATGCGCAAACATAATCGTATCACCTATAATAATGTTTTTTATTTGCCTCTTCACAATATTGCATTTTACGGGTTCACATGCTGCAAGTATTAACCTTGTGAGAGGCTGGTGCCTATAATCGAACTATAAAAGTCCTGTGGTAAAATTTCACCAGCTTTTACCAAATTAACAAACAAATTAAAAATTTGTCTCGTTTCAGACACGGCGAACAATGGCGCACATTTCGTTCGAAGGTGCAAAGACCGATTCTTCAGCCGCAGACGGTGAAGAAGTATGTAGCACCTATCGAAATGGTGACAGAAGATTTCATCAGATACATGGAGAATGCACGAGATGAGCTTGGAGACTTGCCGAAAGACTTTGACAATGATATCCATAAATGGTCTCTTGAATGTGAGTATAATTATTGAAAGTAATAGCTAGTTTTATTGTATTTATATTTGGAATCAGTTAAAAGGTTCAATAGATATTCCTAGGGAGTAAAAATTTTATGTTTTTTAAACGCACGTTCAATAATTATCATGTAAAATGTGAATAATAATACCATAGAATTGTTTTTTTTTAAGTTGAAAAACTTTATTACCACAGATAATCAATGAAACAAATAACGCCATTTTGTTTCGCGTCTAATAAAATAAAAGTAGGATTATACCAATTAAAGTTTTGTCAATGTCGAATTTAAATTTCGAACTTAAAAAACGAATCGAAACTAAAAGAAGGATTTAATCCAATTCAAATATTGTCGATGTCGAAATTAAATTTTGAATCGAACTTTTGTCCAAATCTATGAAACTGCAAAGTGCGAGCAATTACTGTGTAGCCGTGTTTATCTATTCAAACGAAGCGTTGCTCAAGGATAGGATAAAATCTTACCTAAATCTACTTCGACTATTCAATATTTCAGGTATTGGCCGAGTCGCCCTAGATGTTCGACTAGGCTGTCTATCAAATGACCTAACGAACAACTCAGAGCCGCAAAGAATAATCGATGCAGCAAAATTTGCACTCAGGAACGTCGCAGTATTGGAATTAAAAGCTCCATACTGGAGATACATACCAACACCACTTTGGACGAAATACGTCAATAATATGAACTTTTTTGTTGAGTAAGTAAAGTCAGATTTAATGAAAAGTAAGCTATTGATAGGATTTCAAAAACAGATTATTTATTAGTGATAGCCTATACAAATTGTTATTTATAATTATGTTAAGTATCAGATTTTAAAGGCGACTCGGCAAGATGGCGTCGAATCCTGTTACGTATCATGCTTGTAAACACGTAAACAACTGTCATGTTTTTTACACATACATTTCAAACAAAAACGGTGTGTGATGAAATTAAACTAATAATTAAATAATACGTTTGACTATGGCATATAAGTCTCGGTTGTGAATTGCCGGATATGTATTTGCTAAGCTCCGCCATATTGTTTATAAAATTAAATATTTTTCTCAACATTTAAACACAACCAACGATGAATAATTATTTCAGACTCTGCACGCGTTACATCAATGAAGCGTTAGAACGCCTGAAAACCAAGAAGGTGACGTCAGAGAACGATCTATCTCTCTTGGAGCGCGTGCTGAAGAGTGAAGGAGACCCAAAAATAGCTACCATCATGGCGCTTGATCTTATACTCGTTGGCATCGATACGGTATGTTTTACTCGAGTTATAATAAAAAATAGACCTATTTTCAATTTATATAAACTGTTTTAAATTATACTGTCTTTCAGTAGTAAGTAATAGTTTATTTCCGATAAATAACTAGATTTAAGCAACTAAAGCGGATTTGTGTACATGTAAATATGCACAGATTATGATAAAAATAATAATCTAGTGGCGCTAGAAACCCATATGAGTCATGACCACAGAACCGTTTCTTTGATCACCATCATGATTGTTAAAGTATTATAATCTGTGTATAGATTAAATAATTTTATAAATTGGAATTAATAGTATTAATACAATTATTTATAGTAGTCTGGAGTCAAACTATTCATAAAACACATATTTTGACAGATATCAATGGCAGTATGTTCGATACTGTACCAGGCAGCGACAAGAGTGAAGCAACAAGAGAAAATGGCGGAAGAAATACGTAACGTACTCCCTGATCCTAGCAAGCCATTGACGTACGCTGACTTGGACAAACTTCACTACACTAAGGCGTTTGTTCGAGAAGTTTTCAGGTTAGTACAATCTTTGTTGAAACAGCTGCCCACTGAAGTATTCCGAACCAATAAGACCTAGGGTCCGTCAAGAAAAGTATCTACAAAATTTTAAAAGGCCGGCAACTCATTCGTGAGAATTGAGCATTAACAGTGTCCATGGTTAGCGGTAAGCCGTTTGCCCCTTGTTCTATATTTAAAAAAAAAAACAATGTATGAGCGTTAAGCAGGGTTATTCTGTAAAATATGTACTATAGCCGAATGGTAAAAAACTGAAACTTTCGATTTCTATATCATTAACACAGTTATTTTATTCCGAAATTATTAGGACTCAGTTGACACTTGTTGTTAGTGAAATTCTTAACTTAAATTTTCTTTTTTACTTTTGCAAAGAAATCCTTCGGTACAAATATTTTAACTGGCTGTTTGTGTTTTGTATGAAATAAAAAAATAATTTTACATTATTATTGTTTTTTCAGAATGTATTCAACTGTTATTGGAAACGGCAGGACCTTACAGGAAGATGACGTCATTTGCGGATATCACATACCAAAAGGCGTAAGTACCATATTCATGGATTCAGTTCTGAGACTTAGCGCTAAGTTCTCATAATATATAAAAACCGTTTTGGTCAAGTCAAACCAGTCGTCCCTACATTACATATCGCTTTATTAGTCAGGCCTTCCTGAAACCATTTCATATATATCTATGTCTAGCCATTTATAGCCATTGAAATACATTAGCATTATTATCTGGCTTCACAGATTAGTAAACAAGTTTTCTCTATGATCATACCAAAAACAATAGAAATCAGATTTCGCGAAGTTTAACAAAACCTGACTAGTCCTGACTTCGATCGTCTCACATCATACAATTACCGTCTTCGCGACACAAACGAACAAATTGTTAGGTAATAGGTCTCAGTATCAGGTAAAAGGTCGGCACGCACTAGCGAGCCTTCTGTCAGTGTTAGCCTATCTTCTCATAGTGCCATCTCCTTGCGAAGGTTGGCGATCATCATGGCTAGTTTAATTTTGGATGCCGCGCTTCTAAGCAATGACTTGGTGCTTTGACCAAACCATTGTCTTAAGTTTTTCAACCAGGCGTGCGTCTGCGGCCAGGTCTCCTTCTACCTGCCACTTTGCCTTGTATGATTAGTTGAAGGAGCTCTTATTTTTTGAAGTTACGTAAAACGTGTCCGAAAAACTCAAGTTACCTTTTCTTAACCGTCATAAGTACTTCTTTGTTCTTCTGCATTCTGTCCAGCACGGTTGTATTTTGTATGTTGTCCAGGATATTTAAAGCATACATCGATAAACCCAGATCTCAAACGCTTCCAGTTTTTTGGACATAGTCTCTGTCAGCGTACAAGATTCTACGCCGTAGAGCAGCACAAAGAAGACGTAACATCGCGCAATGCAAGTTCTAAGCTGTAAATTGAGGCGCTTGTCACAAAGTCCTTTATTTTAATTTTTTTTAGTAGTTAGTGTCTATGGACAGTAGTATCTTTCCATCTCTTCCCGGTTGCCGTCTGTTCTATAAATTAAAGTTGAACGAAATGTTTATACGGTTCAAATAGTATAATAATTAATACTTTATTTATATTAAATAGGATAAGAAGGATGTAAATACGCGCTCTTACAGCTAAAAGCAGTATCTTGCAGACATAATAGTATTTTTTAATGTTAAACAGGTACAAGTCGTATTCCCAACGATAGTGACGGGAAATATGGAGCAATTTGTATCAAATCCAAAGGAATTTAAACCAGAGCGTTGGTTAGAAGGGAATGGGAGGTTGCATTCCTTCGCTTCTCTTCCGTATGGTTTCGGAGCACGAATTTGTTTGGGAAGACGATTCGCTGATCTCGAAATACAGGTTCTATTGGCTAAGGTTAGTGGTTTATTTGATACTTATTCTTTGAAATGAATGAACTGTTTATATATAAATAAAATTTTAGGTGTTGCACCATTTTTGTAAACATCTGAATAGAATTCTGAGATTGAAAACTAAAATCAAAAACACTTTATTAGATGAATCATGTTAATTGTCACAATTTTATTATTCTGAATTTAAATTTAAAAAGTTTTTAGAAGTTTTTAGTTTAATCTACTATTAGGTAATTATTTGCCTGATAGTCAGAAAATAAGTACAAAGAGCTACAAAGGACCACTCTGTGAAAACGTGAAGAAGAATTTTCGTATATTTTAAGCAGAAATTAACCTGTGAAACTCATGAATCAAAAACATGGTTACGTATTAATACGTAATATTGTCAGAATCAAACTTATTAAGACAGCTCCCAGAAAATAACCATTACCTTTACCGCGTAGGTCCAACTTATAAACTCTGTCTTACATGCCATAAAGGCGCATTGCTTAATTTTTTCAACTGGACTTTTTAATCCTGTTTTGGCGAGTATAGCTTTGCCGGAAGCGTAGCGTAGCCTGAATAAATACTACCATGGTACTTGTATGGTAGTATTTTTTTGGTCTATTAAACTCAGTCCTTTACAAACGTCATCTACAATACCGGCAATATTGCTGACGCCAGTACAATAGTATTGTCGACGCCAGTGGCGCTACATTATAACACAAAATTCCATGAGTGAGTCGAGGATACTAATTAAATATTTTATTTCAGCTATTACGCCGCTATAGACTAGAATACCATCACGACCCACTGGAATACGCTGTGACATTTATGTATGCACCCGACGGACCTCTACGTTTGCGTATGATTGAACGATAAAAAAATATGGTTCCCAGTCTGCTTTAAATTGACACATGACAGTGACATTACTAAATTACACCGGCGCCCGGGAGGTTATTTTTCTTACCGGAGGTTATTTACCATCGTTCAATTACGTTATGTGTTGATATGTTATATAATGTAATGCGTTCAAAACTGAATGTATACTAACGATTTTCGTGCATTATTAAATAAATAATAATATATACCATAGTTAACATTTCAAAGTAATAATGAAACAATCTTGCTGATGAAAGTTATTGTAAAATATATGAGTGGTTTGAATATGATAAGTTTATGTTTAATAAGTAAATTAATATTAAGCTCTTGCCGCCAAAATACGACTTGGCCACGTGGTTTATTTAATTTTGACGTTTGACATTTGAATCAAAACGTCACTGTATTAAAGACCACGTCATATAAATTAAAACTTGATATTATTAACGATTTTACGTGTTAAGCTCGCAGGTTAAGGATTTCAGGTTTAAACCTAACAATTTTAAAACTTTGAAATTAAATTTTCTCATACAATTATTAAAGGATAATCTAGATGTAAATCATTTATATACGCGCTATATAAAAAAATAAATATTCATCACACCAAGTTTATGTATATACCTAATATGTCTAAGTTATATATTTGTAAATAAATAATTTTTTACCTCGTTGTTGTTTTTTCACCTCCCATTACTAAGTTGCATAACGTAATAACTAATTTCTTTGTATTTGTTATTGTACCAATTTATAGAAATTTTTATAGGTAACTAATTTAACAATTAGAAATGAGGTGCTATTGGCCCATTTTCCAAAAATAGGTGTCGAGTTCCTGTCCCTCCATTATTGTCCAAATTTTATACTTCTCAATTTATTACATACCGCAAGTTTTCAAATGGCGTAGAAAGGATGAGCGGCAAGAATACTGTCGTTTCTTGCCATCTTCATGTTTTTTAATTACTGTATTCGATATAAATATATACGTATGACCTAGAGTATATAATATACGAAATTAGGATTACATGAATATTTAACTAAAAACATAAAGGCGTATTAATTGAATTTATTCCCGCATTTGCAATTCGTATGTAGTAAATAAAATATTTTAATGGATAAAAGCATATATAATATATATGTATGTATGAGCGCCGAGTCAGACGATCCCAATAATATTAAATTATTATTACCCACTGCTGAGAGCAGTGTTGGCTCTCACTCCTGAGTCCTGATGTTGTAGGTCTGAATCCATGCTGAGCACCAATCTACTTTCTGTCTCTGTGCAAACTTTAACATCCGCTCGTATGGTGAAGGAAAGCAACGTGAGGAAACCGGCAAGTCTTGAACCCAAAGAGTAGACGGCCTGTGTCAGGCACAGAAGTCTGATCACCTATTTGCCGATTACAAAAACAAATGATTATTTATTTATTTATTAACAGAAATACATACATTATCCTTTCAGACTATGCCAAGACGATTATGTTTAGAAAAAATAAAATATGAATATAATATTAAACACCATATATACAGTATTTACAATTTTCTTAACCTACAAAGTAATAATAAAAATAATTAAAAAGAAAATTAAACAAATTTAAAAAGTTTGTTCCCTGTGGCCGTGAACCTTTAACGCTGGCAGCATTTCCTCGCGGATTTTTTGTATATACTGTATACTTGATTGTTATGGTTACTAATAAAAATATATTTAAACACATAATACGCAATATCGCTACTGTGAATTACTCTGCGAACATATAAATATGTCGATAGTGTCGAATACAGCATTCAGTATCATCATCATAGACATATAGAAATAAATAGATACAGAGGATAGATCTGATGCCCAGACCTTATAGGCCGGGAGATAGTGACACAAAATAGTGGGTCATTTGTACCAGTATGGCGGTTCATCAGGGGTCTTATTACTAAAAAAAAAAAAGAAAAATGATGGTCATAGGGCTGGTACCGGCGGCCCAAGCGCGTGGGCGTTAGTCGAACTCGTCGGATTAATTACGACTTTCAAACTATTTGACCACAAAAATTCTAGTATTTTCCGATAGTCCATAAAAAAATAACAGGCGGCAGTGCCATGCCATACTTCTCCGGTGTGACTTACAGCCCGCCATACCGACGCGAATGCGTTGATTAAAAAAAAAATTGCTGATTTTCGGCGGTATGGCGGCCATTTGGAACCGTCTGAAAAGTATCGCATGGTGATTTTCGTAAATGGCTGCACGACGATGATTAACTGTGCAAAAATAAGCCTGGTACAAATGGTTGAATTTTTTTTCTAACTGAGAACAGACAAGGATAACATGTGTTTCACTGATTACATTGATTTCTTAATTTGAAATAATAACTCTTTAGATGAACTGTGTTTCCTTCTATTATTAAAGGCGTCTAAAGTCCTGAAGTCCAATTTGCGTAGTTAATATAATTTATTCAAAGCTACTAAAACAGGAACTTGCTGAATTTCACACTTATATGCTAACAAGTGTTATGTCATAAGCGGCTGTTTAAACTAATTCTGTGTTTATTTCAAACATACGAAAGTGTTTTTGTCACTTTCAATGTTTAAGATGAATCAGTGTTTAATATTTTTAGGACAGAGACTTGATTTTGAGCCCCAGTTTTGAGTGTTGCAACCTTGAAAAATCATATACCTAAACCTTCCTTATGAATCATTCTAGATATTGATGAAAACGGCAATAAGTTCAGTCGTGGAGGACTTGTTTTATATAATACTAGCGGACCTGACAGACGTTGTCCTGTACACACGTCCAAAATAAAAATAACAATCATGTACCCACTTGGTCACACATATAAAATTTCATCAAATCGGTCCAGATGTTTACCAGAAGTTTAATAACAGACACGCGCAAATATAATTTATATATAAAGTTAGACATATGCTATCAAAAAACAATCATATATCCCTCATAGTTAAAGTAGCGTTCGTTAGAAATATTTTCGTTTGAGCGTCTTATCTCTGACTAGCACATCCGATTACAACGAAAAGACTTTTAGCCCATGACACTCACAAATAACGTGGTTTCCTATTAATAAAAGAATTTCCAATATTGGTGAATGATATCCTGAGATAATCCCTTACAAACGTTATCTGTATCATATTAGATTATTTAAGATTATAAACGTACACTTTTAAATTACATAGCGGTAGGTACATTCTAACTTTATTCAGCTAACGTTCGACAAATAATTAGAAATCACTGTTTCAAGTTTTTCAACAGTTCAAGCCATCCATAAGAACTCGTGCGCCTTGAACAACAATAAACTTTTTTTAAACATATGTAGTTGCGCCAATTTTTTTCTTTTTATAGTTGTTTGCCTTGTAAAATTATGTTCCGGGCCCTGTGGATAAAAGTAAACTTACTCATAAAAGTAAAAAGTCAAGGCCTATTTCGAAAGCATAAGGGTCAATTAAATGCTTAACCAGTGAAGGGCGTGTGAATTAAAATACTTGCGAAATTTTAATGCTATAATCATATCTCTAGAAATGTTCTTTACTAAAACCAGCTTCGCTTATAGCTTATAACCATGAGTTGTCGGGTTGGATTTCCGTGTAAGTTGACACAACTTGGACAAGAAGAGCTAACATTAGAAAATAATGGAAGCAGCTGGAAGAGGCCTATGTGTCACAGGACACGCTGATAACCAAAACCGGTGCATCTGATGTATTAGATTAAGTTAGGTTATGTAACTAAAATAGTCTTTATCTCAATATATATAAATTACGCATCACGCTGTTTGTCCGCTATGGACTCCTAAACTACTTAACCGATTTCAATCAAATTTGCCCCCCGGCTGCAGTTTTATCTAACTTAAAAGATAGGATAGCTTACATATATATATAATTCTACTGTACGTGTGTATGTCACTGAACTCCTCTTAAACGGCTGTACCTATTAGAATGATTTTTTTGTATGCATTTGGGTGGAGCCCTGGATGGTTTAGATTCACAAATCAGCCCGGCAGATGGCGCTGCAGTCGGACTTTCATACTTTGTTTAATATCCCAATCGCTTGAAATATCATGCAGGGCAACAAATGTGGGGTCCGCTAGTATATTTATATGATATCGGCAATAAAGGCTTAATAATAATGTACCATATGTATTGGGGTTACAGCTGTTGGGTAATATGTCGATAGATCTATATCATTATCTTTTCTAAAAACGAAATATTTGTACTTCCCATGTTTTTAAAATGTTTTGTCCTGAGTAACAAATGCTATTTATTTCCCAATATTTAAAAAAAAACCGGCCCGTGGAGATCAATGCTAGGGTTAATTAAATCAGGGAGCGCTCTAGAAGAAGATATGCCCATCTCCTACCTTCTATACACTACAAATTCTGCACCGGAAGTTTTGAGTCTAACAGTTGTGCCGTGAGGGCAAAAGCGACGCCGGAGCCTCTCTAACGAAGCCTTGTACGAACTACCCGAGGTGGTTTTAATGGGTATTGCCCAGTCTCGAATAGCAGAAACTGATGTGAGTTGAGTTCCACATATCCCTGCTTTCGAGGGCACAATGCCCGGATATAAAAAAGGGTGACCATTTCTTGAACATGTTTTTTATTTATTATAATTTAGGAGTATACGTTAACCTACTGGTATAATTAGATATAGAACCTACATAACTTGTTTAGACGCACCTATACAAGTTCTGCGTCTGTGAATTTTCTAACCGATTTGCCGTATTTTACCTTAAGTAAAAGTAACTTTAACATATGAACTAGGTCCACGGTACTCGCTAGTCTACAGTCTGATATATAGGCATTTATCTTTCGTAAACTTATTTAACATATACTATGTCAGTTTGTGAGGATATATTAAATTCATAATATTGATGCACGCTGGAGTTTCACCCTTCCTTGTTGACATCCCCAATCCCACACTGAACGATTTGGTTCGTCATTTCTTATCAAAGGAACTCCTTGCCACATTCCATCTTCCCTAGACAGTCTAATATGGGTTCATGTAAGCGACATCT